GACCCCTATTTCTGCTCTACTTAAACTTACAAGTTAGTTGATCCTCTCTTCTTCTCTGTTAATAACTTTGCCTGCAACTCCTCAAGAAGAAGCATACCCATTTCAATGAAGGGAAAATGGGATCAGGCAACTTAATCACTGTTCTAGGCTCATAGGATGTGCTGACCAGACTGAAAACATCTAAACATTTTTTTCCTTCCTTTCTTTTTTCTGTTTGGTGCCAGTCCTGGGGCTTGAACTCGGGGTCTGGGCCCTGTCCCTTAGCTTTTACTCACAAAGCTGGCCCTCTACCACTTGAGCGACATATCCGCTTCTGGATTTTTGGTGGTTCCGTCTCACAGATTTTCCTGTCCAGGCTGGCTTGCAATTGCACTCCTTAGATCTCAGCCTCCGATGTAGCTGGGATGATAGGCCTGAGTCACTGGCACTTAGTCACAGATCTTTCTTTAAGGCATCTTCGATGTTTTCTCTGCCTGCCTTCTGTGAACACACTGCTTTACTCTCCCTTCCCCCCAATTCTTGGGTCTTGAACTCAGGGCCTGGACGCTGTCCCTGAGCTGTTTTTGATCAAGGCTAGCACTCTACCACTGTGAGCCACACTCCACTTCCGGTTTTCTGGTGGTTAGCTGGAGATGAGAGTCTCACAGAGTCCTGGCTGGCTTCAAATTGCAATCCTCAGATCTCAGCCTCTTGAGTATCTAGAATTATAGGTATGGGCCACCAGTGCCTGGCCGGACCACTCTTACTTAACACCCCCAATCTTTTATTTGCAATTCCAGAAAAAAGACACACACCCCCAAGCCCCCAAACCAATCCAAAACAAACCAAACCAAACCCGTGGCACCATTAGAAGTCTAATGTGCCGACTATCCACATCATCTAAAATGTTTATTGCCTTGAACTGAAGTACTGCGACAATTTGAAGCATCAACCAAGGTAGTTGTGTTCTTTAAAAAATGTTTAAAAACAAGATATTTGATTCAATCTATACATTGAATAGAAGAAGACTATTCTCAAAATTACCTTTATCTTCTCAACACAAATAATAATAATGATGATAATAATAATAATAATAATAATAAAACCCTCAAGTAATCAAAATTTACTACAGCTGAAATCGATTTTGGCAGAATGTAAGTATTGCATGCAATGTGAGCATAACTCTGATTTCTAAGCAGAGAGGCCAGGATTTGTAGTTTTGGCTTCATTCAGTGGAAAACAAAAATCTACTACTGTATTTGGAGTCTTTTACTACATTCAAGAGATTAATTCTCATAAATAACATTGTTTACACCAGCTCCTATTCAGAAAGTTGAAATTATCTGTAGCAATGTAACCACTAAAAACTTGTATACTATGGAAATATTTCAATAATTAATGCATGCTCCATCTAGAGTAATTGACAATGAGGTCATAAACATAATAGGCCATCTGTGTTTGATTTGTATCCTTAAAGGGATAGGTGCCTAATTTAAGCTTCTTAGGCCAGGAAGATTTTTTTCAATTCCAAATAGAGCCATTTCTTCCCTCCTTCCCTCCTTTCTCTCTTTCCCCTCCTTCCCTCCCTTCCTTACTTCCTATCTTCCTTCTTTCCTTCCTCCTTCCTTTTCTTTTGGCAGCATTGGGGGTTGAACTCAAGGTCTTGTGGCTGCTAGGCAGGTGCTCTACCACTTGAGCCATCTCCCCTCACTCCCATCCTATTTTGCTTCAGCTCTTTCTCAGATAAGTTCTTGCCTTTTGTCCAGGCCAGCCTCAGACGGTAATCCTCAGGTCTGGGTTAATATACAGAACACATATATTCTCTCTCATTGATAAAATTGAGAGAAACAGGAATTAAGGAACAGACCTCATCACATTACTTTCAATGACATTACATAGGCCTCTGCGTAGAACATGGCTATTGAAACTGATGGCAAATAAACCACTTCCAGTACTGACAGGTGGCCTTCACAAGACAAGAGATGATGGCGATTTTGACTGCTGTGTGAGTTCAGAGACCTTGTGCCAATCTTTGAAAACTCCTTAGAACGTAAGTTGAAACCACGGAGACACAAATACTTTTGTGGCCAAGATGTCCTCACTCACCTGATCTTAATTGGCGGTGAGCCTACAGGCTCTGAGTGGTGGAGGCTGTCAGGATTCCCAATGCCAGTGTCAACTAGGTTTTCTTTTCCAAGCAAGCACAGCTCTGTCTGGAGTCCCTTGGAATTCTGGGAATTCTCTAAGAAGAGATTGGAACTTTTTTTTTTTATTGTTGTTGTTAAAACCAAGGAGCCTCATCTTCCTGGAATCCCCCTGCCATAATATGAGACTTGATTTCAAGGATTTCTCCTTCTGTTTGCTTGGAGAAAGGAGAATCCCTTGGTGCAGTTCTGGGCCCTTAAAAACACGCTGTCTTTGGATGTGGAAAGGAGTGATCTTTTGCAGACCCCAGAAGAACAGAGCTCTGGCTAAAAAGATGCTGCTAAGGAAATGTAGATAAAGCAAACCCCAGGTACCTGAGGCACAAGGCACTGTTACTGAACACGTTGGGGTAATAACTATTAGGTCAGTGACTGTAAGTCTATCCTATAAACAAGGATTATAAGATTTAAGCAAGGGCTTTGCCTCAAAGAAATGATGCCAACAACCAATGGCCAGAGCTGCCCAGCCCCTCTGTTCATCACTTAAAGTGACAGTACCCAGCTTTTCACTCGGCATCTATCATGAGGACACATTGATTTCCTTTCTGGGGAAATGCATATTTCTTCTCCCCTGCTGAAAAGATAAACCTGACAGATTTTAATCAGATGTAGTTGCTCACAGAACTGTGGGCTCGTGCCACGTTCAGGAGACAAACACACGGCGGCCTTTAACGGATGAAGGATGTGGCCAACTTTATTTGTAAACACTTATGTGAACACACAGGCACACATACACACACAAACCCACAGTATTTGGGCAGTAGTAAAGCGTAGATGTTGGTTATTTTGATGTTCCTTAAGGTACTACATTTATAGTGACATTAGAAGCTGTTGCTTTAATTACATTTCTACTGACACTAGAATCTCCACTCCCCCCCCCCCTTTCTTTTTCTTTGTGATACTGGGGATTTGAACTCAGGGCCTCTCATTGGCTAGGCAGGTGTCAATCACTTGAGTCTCACTTCTAGCTCTTTTCTGCTTTTGATATTTTTCAAAGAGTCTTGCTTTTTGCCTATGCCAGCCAGGGACTCTGATCCTCCTATTGACACTTTCCAAGTAGCATGAGGGACAGGAACACATAATCATACTCAGCCTTTCTTCACTGGCTGAAGTGGGGGCTTGTGAACTTTTTTTGACCAGGCTGGTCTTGAACCACAGTTTCCCTGATCTCTGCCTCTGAGTTGCTAGGATTCAAGCATGAGCCAATTTACCTGGATCTGATGTTTTGTTTCTTTAAGATTTTTGTGATATTGGACCTTGGTCTGGTAAAAATGAAGTCTTTCCCAAAATGAAACTTGGCTTATAGAGAAAGCATATGAGATATAAGATTAAAACAAACAAACAAAACAAAACGAAAAAACCAGAGTCTTACCCAGAGGCACCTGTGACTCATACCTGTCATCCTAGCTACTCAGGAGGCTGAGATCTGAGGACTGTGGTTCCAAGCCAGCCCAGGCAAGAAAGTCCTTTTTAAACAATTATCTCCAATGAACCACTCAAATGGAAGTGGAGCTGTGGCTTAAAATGGTGAAGTGCTACCCTGGAGCAAAAGAGCTCAGGGACAGTGCCCAGGCCCTGAGTTCAAGCCCCACAACCATCACCACCAAAACCTAAAACAAACAATAATGAAACTAAAGTCCTCCTCTGATAGCAGTTACCTATCATGGGCCAAGAGTGTCATGGAGTCTTTGTATGATTTCATGTAATGATTTTGAGTAGCCCTTATTATTTTCAACATATCTCAAGAGAGCCAAGATGTTTTTCTTCTCAATTCAGATAGACATTAAAATTAATTATTCTTGGATGATTAAAAAAAAGTGTGTGGGAAAGAGATGTAAAATCAACAGGCTTGATGTTTTTGATCTCATTCATTGATTCCTTCAGTTCCCTTCATTACAGATTATGCACGAGTTGATTTTTAATGGAGAAATCTGAAATAGCTGAGTCTTTGCATGTCTTTTTGTCTAAGTATTGGTATGACTGATTGCATTTTCCCCCATGATGCAGAGAGATTAGATGCTTCTTGTTCACAAATGATGGTGATTTCCTGCCCAGGTGTGTGTGTGTGTGTGTGTGTGTGTGTGTGTGTGTGTGTATACATATATAGAAATAAATAAAATATAATGTTAGCTGATGTTTCGTGATGAAAACAGAAAACAGTTCACAGACTGAAAGTGTCGTGATAGTATTTTAAGCGAAAATGATCAATTTACTTCTTCCTCAAGTATTCCATCTTTTTAATAAAGCTTTAAAAAACTATATCCTTCTACGTCTGAATATTAAGACATACGAGAAGAATCATGCATTAGAAAAGGTTTATGAGGGAAGTTATCTTAATAGGCATTGCGGCTTGCTACATGTACTCATGCATATGTATACACAATTCATTTCAGTGGACAAAATAGAGTCTATAAACATTTGCCTTTTGAAGTGGGACCTTTGAGATTTTATTTTTAGTATATTTCTAATGTCATTTAAGGATTAAGCTCAAGACCTCCCATTTGCTACATAAAGTGCTCTACCACTTGGATCCCACTCCAGTCTTTTAGTTTAAGTTTTAGACAGGGTCTCACACTTTTATAATGCCCAGCCTTGGACCACAATCATCTTAACTCTACCTTCCAAGAAGCTGGGATTCCAGGCATGTTCCACTCTGTATAGCCTTTCTCTATCGCTTCTAAGTCCTTAAGAGTAGTAGACATTATTATTTATGTGATAATCTGTCCTAGAATGACTTGTCCTGCCATAAACAATTGGATTAATTTTGACAGCCACTTTGATTTGGGAATGATCTTACAATTCAAATATTTGTCCTAGATGTTCTATTTTGTGAGATTTCTCCTTTGAAGCACATTGTGATCGAGAGAAGACAACACCTACAAGTCAGAAGTTACCTTGTCAGAGTGGTAGTAGAAAAGTTTGGCATTTAAATGGTAAGAGATACTAATGAACTTCATAAAGTAAAAAAAAAAATAAACAAAAAGCAAACATAGGAAGGCCATAAAATTGGGTGAACTCTTTTACCTTCACATTGTACTATCCTCATTAAAACTTAGCCATAAAATCAGTGATTAACAATGTGCCCCAATTTCCACTTGGTGCTAGTGTTATTTGAAAATTTAACCCAATCTGAAAGGCCATCCTGACACAGGTGGTTCATTCCTGATAGAATATGTGTGATACTCCAAAGTACAGCCACTAGAAGTTAAGCACACGATATTCCCTGGGTCAGGATTTATACATGCTGAACAGGCAAGCACTCCCCCTCCTCCCTCCCTCCCTCACAAAGTGCTCCCAGCTAGCTATAGTTCCGGTGGAGTATTGTTTGAAGCGGTATTTCCCAAAGTTACTGAGTCTTCTTATTTACAAAAGAAGCAATTCATTTTGTAAGACATTTCAAATTGGCAAATGGCCAGTGACAATTTTGACCAATGCTGGGTAAAAAAAAAAAAGGTATTGCAAAACACAAAGCCTTAGAATATTTAGGGAATATGGAAACAAAAAGGAAGATTATTCATCCTTCCATATGGCTTTTTAAAGCCCTTTGCAATTATGTGCTGTTTATGGTTGTTTCTCTATTGAGAAGGCAGAAGACTTGCTTGAGTTTGTGGAAGCATTACAAAAAGAAAGAAGGGATTCAGAATGACAATGGAATTTAGCTGATTACTCTGTGAATCTGCGGTGTGATAAAGACCCTGCTTACCAGGAAAATGGAGAATGCGATCTCATTTGCTTTCCCAGAAATGGATTGGAAAGGCCTTAACGGAAAATTAAAGTTGCTAGTGAGAGGGTTATGAAAAGTAAACAAGCGCTCCGTCACAATTATGCATCTGATTGAAACAGATACCTTGCACCCACCAGGAAGCTCAGAATCCATCTTGTTTAATCTGATGCATGGGGCGGAAATGACTTCTGGAAGAAAGAGGAAGTCTGTCTCCTCTCCCGTGGCATTCACTTTGTGTCATACTCTGCCTAGACCACATACCACGTCATCAATCCCTCCCTTTGGCCACTTACAGTCAAATTGCCCAAAAAAAAAAAGATTTCTAGGTACTAAGGGGTGGTGTTACATGGACTGCTTCAGATTTCATCACCCATTCATAGTTGCCAAAGATCATGATTGTCTTACAAGCCCGAAGCTGGTGGCTTATAGCTGCAGGACTAGCTACTCTGGAGGTTGAGACCCAGAGGATGGAGATTCAAAGCCCACCCTTTCAGAAAAGTCCTTGAGACCCCATCTCCAAAATAACTAGCAGAAAGCTGGGCCAGGGGGTGTGGTTCAAGTGGTAGAGTGACAGCAGAGTAAGTAATTCAAGCATACATGAGCCCCTGACTTCGGACCTGAGTACTGCAACCCCCTCCCCAAGATATTCGTATACAATTCTAGCTAAATCATATGAGATTTCCTCATCAGAATATTTGTAGATGCAGACTAACAATCTCATTTCTTCGACACCATCCTTTCTTGGCAACACTCAATCTTCTGCCTTAAAAAAGACAAAAATCTTATTCTCTCTTCTTTAGGAGTTGGCTTCCCATTTGTTTTGGGGAATTAATGTCTGTAGCTCCCTCAAATTGTGAAGTCAACTCATGATACTTCGTAAGTGCACAGTTAAGTCTAGAGGGTGAGCAGCTATTAGACGTCCATTCTCAGAGAAGGAGGCGTGGCTCAGTTGGTAGAGCACTAGCCAATGAGCAAACATGTCAGTAAGCACTAGCCAATGAGCGAATGCATCAGTAGGACACTAGCCAATGAGCAAATGCATCAGGTACCAAGTTCGAGTCTTGATCTTGTACCTAAAAAAACCCCCAAAATCCAAAAGCCAAAAAAACAACCAATCCTTTTGGGCTTGGAGCATGGCTCAGGTTGTAGAGCAGTGACCAATGAGTCAAAGCAAGCTTCAGACTGAGTTCAAGTCCTGTCTCTGACAAGAACAAAAAGAAAAAGAAAAAGTGGAAATAGCGTTACTTACAGAGATGAGGACCATTTACAGAGGCACAAGCAGAGAAGACCTTGTTAAACAAGAATGTGCCAAGGACAGGCACAACAAAAGCAGGAGCAAATACCCGGGACTTCTTGATTTTTATTACTTTTCTCCTTTCCTTTTTGATGATTTTTTTAAAAAAAAATCAAGAATCCTACAGAACACACACACACACACACACACTTGCCAGTCTTGTATTTATTTATCTATCTTTCCTTCCCCCCCCCCTTTTGTTACTGATCATTCTGGACCCTCAGAACTTCATGAAATCAAATTATCTCTGAACAAGAGTGACTTCCTGGACAGAGGTGTTTTTTTTTTTTTTGTTCCTCCCAAGCTGGAGCTGAAAAAGCAGAGTAGTCAAACACTTCTTCTGATTCAGCTAAAGATGCCCTGCAGGTCGGAAGTTGTGAATCCTCCATCCAAAACACCCAGCCTTCCCCGGGATTAGTCACTTGGCCGTCTCGCTAGGCAGCTAGTAATTCAGAGATAATCACGTTACCAAGATGCCATTTAATCTGCATTTGGCATATCTGGTGTTTTCATCTTTCCTAATGGAGCCATCAAAGTTTCATTGGGTCTGACTGGTCTTGGACGCACCAGTGGTTCATGGGGGGTGTGGGGTTTGCCTCTTGCGAGGGGGAACCTCTGGTGGCCAGATGGCAGCTGTTAATCTGTTGGCTGCAGGGTGCAAGGCGGGAGGGGGTGGGGGCTAAGCTTGTCTGGCCCCCAGCCAATGGGGCTCTGCTCTCTCCTCTTGATTATTCCAGGGCTGTGTGGCGGGATCCTTTCTGTGCTGCCTATAGGATGGCACTCTAGGAATGGCTGTCTGGTGGAGGGAAGACAGTGTTTCCTGGTGTCCTTGCTAGCAGGATTCCTGGCTCTGCCCCAGTCCATGGAACCGTGGGGTGGGGGGGGGGGGCACATAACAAGGCTGAAAGTCAGAGTCAGGGACACTGGGCCTGGATTCCAGCTCTCCCCCGCCCCCCCTTGCCTTCCCCCACTTAACTAGTACATTCATGTTTTCTGCTACTCTAGTGAAATACCCAGGCTGGGGACTGACCCAGAAAAGACAAGTGTAAGCAGCACAGCGCTAGCCCCAGCGAGGATTCCCACTCCCTATCGCCCCATGGCAGATGGGATCGGAGCTGAGAGAAGGCTCTGGAAGAGGAGAGATCCCATCGCCAGCCAAGCAGCCAGCGGGCAGCCAGGGGCCTCCTTGAACCCCTCCCCCCACCAAGGTTCTATTCCTTAAATTAGTCCACCACAGCCTAATGTCACCCACCCACTACGTAAATCTCCGGTGGACAACACAGAGCCACAGGTCCACGACAGCCACCAGCTATGTGGAGTGGAGCATGTAACCTAACTCCCTCAAGCCTCTGGACATGAGCTCCAGGCCAGCCCTCTGGTTCTTCTACCCATGTACAGGACATGAGCTCCAGGCCAGCACCGTGGCCTGTCTGCCATGGTAGAGTCAAGACAGAGGAGACAGAGGAAAACCAGGCCATCCACCCCAAGAACCAGCTATTCCAGGGACAGCAGAGCCCAGAGAATTGCTCCCACCAGGGGGGCTGGGTGGGGAGGGTTGTTGCTGCTGGGTGGTTTGAGAATGGGGATGATAAAGTATCTTATCACTGAGGAATTGGGTCAGGAGATGTAGGGAGGATATTCCTGCAATGTCAGGTAGCAGTGTCGATAAAATAACACCTATGTTGGGTGGAAAAAGGAAGGACAAAGTCCATGGATATCATTTATGTAAGTGAAAACATATCCACAAAACCCTAAAACACACACACACACACACACACACACACACACACACACACACACCAAGTACCCCAAAGGAGGTAGCTTGCATGTGTTCTATGAGAATGTATTCAAATTCAAACGCAACGGCGCTATTGATTATGGCTTACATGAAGGAAGTGGCGGGAGAGGATAAAAGTAATCAATCGATAAAGGGCCCCAGGAAGAAACTTGTAATGATCACATGCTACAAGTTAAGTCATTGAGGGTCATTGGAGTGTAACTTGCTCAATGCTCTGCCCGCAGATCTAAACGAAAGATAAACGCTGGAGAAAAATATTCAGGAAGACGGGAGAAGCTAATTCATACTAGAGGTGAGAGGGCTTCAGGACCAAGGTATAAAGAGAGGCAATTGGGTGGATATGGGATGAGTCTTCATCTAATCTCTGCGCCCCTCCCTCCCCCCCCCCCCCGCCCCGCTCCAGCCCCTCTTTCTGTGTGTCTTTCTGTCTTTGGGGACTGGAATGGGTCAGAGTGGTCTGAAACACACAAATGACCCTCTCTGAACTGTCAGATGCTAGTTACCCAAAGGCATTTCCCTGATGCTCCCATTTCTCATTGTAGACTTGATTTTAAGTGACTTGGTCACTTTAGAAGTTGCTGAAGGTACGGCGGTATGCAATCTGGTTCAACCAGTTGAGAGTTTCCTGGACTCCAGCCCTTGGGCCTTTGCACATAACTGTAGTAGTCCTCATAATCGACGATACCTTTGTATATAGTAGGCCAGAGGGTTTGTGCTGGGAGAAAGGACCGCAGGAAAATTCCTATCCCTGAAAAGGAAGTTACAAATGTGAATTTGGTGCATGCTTCCACAGCATGCTTTTGTTAATGTGTGGTTTTAGATATCACTGTGAAGCTGGGTGCTGGTGGCTCATGCCTATAATCCTAACTACCCAGGAGGCTAAGATCTGAGGGTCACAGTCCAAAGCCAGCTCCGGCAGGAAAGTCCATGAAACTCTTATCTCCAATTAACCACTGGAAAACCAGAAACGGAGCTGAGGCTCAAAGTGATAGGGCAAGCTAGCCTTGAGAACAATGGTTAGGGATGGAGGTCTTGAAATCCAGGCCTGGAGTTCAAGACCCACAACCCCCCCCCCCACACACACACACACACCCTGCTTACTGTGAATTTGCTGGCATTATATCATGGCCAAGGGATACTGTTCCGAATCATCACAATTAATCAGAAAAAGAAGCAATTTTCCTTTGGAATGACAATGTTCTTGCCTCGTTCAAAGCCTATTTGAGTGAGTGTCCATTTCTTTAAAAAAGAACAACAGTAAGTTAGGGAGAGACAAATACAGAGTATCTTCTAAAGAGGAGGACGGAATGATTTTATTGTTTGCTTCACTCTTTTGGAAGCTAAGATTTGAAAGCACATTCAGGATCAATGTCAGTTAGACACCTTTGGGCTGAGAATGGAATCTCCCGTCCCATATGTCTGCATAGCAGAAACACATTTGTTTCTGCAGGAAAAAAAATACAATAAAATATAAAAAGCCAAATAAACATCTTTTAACACACATGTGGTCTGGCCTTGACTGTCTTTAATCAAGATGGGAAGAATAAACTACTTAAAACATTGTTACACTTGTGAACAGACCGAATCCCAGAGATGAAATGTTATTTTGACAAGACTTGCTTTCTTTTCCCTTTTCCCTTAACATGTCCCTTAAATATCAAAAAGAAAAGTCTGAAGCAAACTCCTTTTTTTTTGGTCATTTAAACTATCTTGAAAGTTGGACCTCCTGAAAGACTTAGTGTGTTTTGTGTTACTAATATATGTAGGCAGTTGAATTTGACATATGTACAATTTTTCTTTACTTATGGATTATTTCCACAGATGTAGGCTTTTAAAAATGCTAAAAATATGTGTCCATATTTTCCTTTAAGTTTCACCCCATTGTTTACTCTCTATGTCCCTCCATCCCTCCCTTCCTCTCTCCTCTTCTACCCCTCCCTCATTTCCTCCACTGTGTGAAAAATACACATCATCTTCTACCCACCTGGCATTCCACACCTTTCCAGCTAGAGTTGCTCCAAACTTCTTCTCAGTCCATACTGTAAGACAAAATAGCCCTGACATAAACCGTACACTTGTGCACAGCAATGTTAGTGGGTGGGCTAGCATGGAAGGGGTTTGTATGTCCCTCAAGTCTGAGCACATTGCTTCAACAAATGCTGTCTGTCTGTCTAGTCTTTCTGTCTCTCTGTCTGATCGATCAGTCTATCTATATCTATCTATCATCTATCATCTTATCTATACCTACCACCTGTCTATCATCTATCACAGATCTACCATTATCTGTCTGTCTGTCTGTCTGTCTGTCTGTCTGTCTTCAGTGCTGAGGGTTGGGCCTATACCACTGAGCTACATACCCAGCTCATCACCATTTATTTTAATAGATTACTTTGGACCATGTCTTAAGTATAAAAGAATGATTTGATCTCAATAGGTAAAAATAGGCCCAAAAGTTTTATAAAAAGTTTGTGTGTGTGTGTGTGTGTGTGTGTGTGTGTGTGAGAGAGAGAGAGAGAGAGAGAGAGAGAGAGAGAGAGAGAAAGAAAGAAAGAGAAAGAGAGACAGAGACAGAGAGACAGAGATTGTGTAGTTATAACTCTTTGGGCTCTTAAAACATTTACTACCTCTAGATGATGGCTCTACATACAGAAGCTATCACAGAATGAGTGGGGATTTAAGAAGGTCTGTGAGAGATCAAAATAAGCTTGCCACGATGTCTCGTGGGGGAGGGGTGCAGATATTGGAGACGTGTGGGAGCATTCGGTAGTGGGTGATTTCTTCATGGTATTTGCATGCGGAGAACTTTAGAAAGGTTACGTTTCTTTTCTGTGTTCATATTTACTTTGTGTTAAGGTTATTGGATCTCTCTGGCGATGTTGCTGCTGCTATTTTTGTGCACGGCAGATCAGTGTTCCGGTGGAAGAGGATGGAAATTTTGAGCCCCAGTAACAATAAACATATTTTATGCCCCTGTAACATTCAAGCTGCGGTACGTCTGAGAGTCAAAGTTTTTCTTTTTCTGTTTTTCTCCCCACTTTTTACCTTGAACTCTGAAGCAAAGAAGAAACTTTTGTTTATAAATTTCCAAGCTTTTTCTCTTTGTACTTACTGCAAAGTCAAATGGAGATATAACCTACTTGGAGCAATTCTGGCCAAGTATCAAGTATGTCTGGTTTTAGATAAGAGAGGAAAATATACTCTATAACTTTTCATGGACACAGTGCTGTACCTGCATTGCAGATCGACCTGTCCTCCATGCAGTCTTGGATCCGGTGGACCCTTTAGGCCCTGAGCAGGCAGTGGGAGGCAGATAGGAAATCCAGGACAAACTTTCTGATGCTTCTTAACTATATTGGATTCTGCACTGTAGAATTTCCTATAAAAGGACTCTGTTTATAATTTCATTATTCCTGTCTTTTAAAGATGAAAAGTTTTGCATGATGGTTTTGAGTGAAATGCTCTGAGACTATTGAAAACCAAACAAGGATCATTTATCGTTTTCAGTGTGCTCTAGCCTGAATTCCTTTACAAGCTACTTAATAACATCACAATTTGCCTGCCTGCCAGTCTGTCTGTCTATCTATCTGTCTGTCTGCCTAGCTATCTCTGTCTACCCTGTATTCTATCTATCTCTGTCCATCTGTGTATCTGTGTGTATCCATCTGTCTTTCCATCTATGCATGTCTATGTCTATCTGTCTGTCTGCCTATCATCTATCTTTCTCTCCCTCTTCCTTTATTTACGTCTATCCATCCATCTGTTCATCTGTTTCTCTATATCTATCTATATATCTATGTATGTATGTATGTATGTATGAATCTATCTATCTATCTGTCTGTCTGTCTGTCTGTCTATCTCTCTCTCTCTCTCTCTCTGTTTGTCCATCTATCATCTTTCCACCTAACCATGTCTGTCTATCTATCCATATCCATCCTTTCCTCATCTACCCACCTTTCATGAGTTATGCCCTCAGCCTATTTTCTATTTGCTTGTTTTTGATTCCCCATGCTTCAGTATGCTCCAAATGGTTAGCTCCTTAAAAGGCATAGTGAGATGCCTAAAACTAACATCAAGCATGGCAGGGGATTCTGAGACAGCATGACGATCTGTCTTGTCCTTTGGTACTGTGCTACGTGCTGAGATATTTCTACCCGATTTACTAAGAATTTTATCGCACACATATTCAATGCCATATGACTGTACTGATGCTGGGAATGGGGTAAACACTTGAGTGTGGACCAAGAAGAGACTGATGAGAAGGAAAGAATGATGGTGTAGTTAGTGCAATGAATAGAGAATCCCACGAAGCAACAGGGGCCAGGATTTGTACCCAGCTCAGTGGAACTCCAGGTCTCAGGCTGTCTTGTTACCACGGGGGGGGGGCGGGGGGGGGGGGACTGGCTTAAGGTTTTGGCAGGGTGCGTGGCCTCGTCTGGCTTGAGTTCTACACGATGCAAGTGGAACTGTCATGCTTATCAGTCAAAACATCGAAAGATCTGAAGTGGCAAACCAGAATGGGAACAAGGTGATAAAAGCCGAAGAAGCGTCGTGGGCACTTAGCAGTTTGAGATCTGGTCCAGGTAGCACAAGAAAGATGGCACAGGTCAAAGGACAGGCGCTTGGGCCTGGCTTATGTTAGAGACGCGCCTCCTACCCCCACAGCTGTGTGGATGTGGCTGCCACTTACCATCCCTAACCTCTCACTCACGTACCACAAAGTAAGGCCCCAAATAGCCAACTGAGAAGGGTGTTTGGATGGTTGGAGACCACAAATGACAAATATCCACACCGCGTAAGGAAATGCTAAGGACTCCTACTCGATAAACGGTTGGAGGGCTTCTTAGTAGCAATGAAGCTTTTAGTCTCCTGTTTACAAGAGACTCTGATGTCCAATTCACCACCCAAAAGCTGGAAGTGGAGCTGTGGTTCAAGTGGGAAGGGTACCAACTCTGAGCAAACAAAAGTGAAGGGAAAGTACCCAGGTCCCGAGTACAAGCCCCAGGAACTGGCACACACAGAAAATAAGTAAATTAAAGGACATTCTTGTAGTGTGATAGGAGCCATGAAGACTTTTTATTTAACCTAAAGTCACAGGATTCTACTCAAAGTTGTAACTTTGGACCCATGATAAGAAGAAAACTTCCTCAGGGCGGCCCTGGGGTACCAAATGAGCAGTGCCCCCTCCCACCAGAGTGATTCACCGAATGATTAAAAGATAGCACCTCCACCAAACAAGGATGCCTCATCTTCAGATGGAAAATGGAAGCCGGCGTCTGCAGGAGTCGGGCTGAGGCATGCACAGTGGGGAGCCTTTAGAATCTCTGCAGAGAACCAGGTTTAGTCTCTATTTAATCAGTCCCAGGCAGGAGAAATGGCTGCCTTTCAACGAGAGCCAGATCACCAAAAAAAAAAAAAAAAAAAAAAGCAAGATAGGTAAGAGCTAGCTCATCACTAGGAGCGTGCTGTCTTAATTTGATGGCAGATGTGGGTTAATCAGGAGGGAAGAGCCATATGTCTGGCATCTCAGGGCTAGTCCTTTAACTCTCGGAGAAGTCCTTCAGGAAAAGCTCTCATTTGTTTTCTTAATTAATATTTTAAGGAAAATGAGAATCATGAACCACATTACTCAACTGCATCCCAAGTTTTCAAAGCCACCTTAGAAAGGACTTGTTTTTTGTTTTTTGTATCAGTAATGAGGCTTGTACACAGAGCCTAGGCATTGTCCTTTAGCTTATTTGTTGTTTTTTTTTCCTCAAGGTTAATGCTCTACCACTTGAACCATGGCTCTACTTCCATATTTTCTTTTTCCTGGTTAATTAGCATTACAAGGCTCAGGGACTTTTCCTGCCTGGATTGGCGTCAAGTCATGATTCTGAGAACTCAGTCTCCTGAGTAGCTAAGGTCATGGGCATGAGTTACCAACACCTTCCTTAGGAAGGGACTTTTGGCACTTGCAAAGTCTGAGTCTCTATTGATATAAGAACATTGCAGCCTTGGAAGAAAGTGGCTTGGGAAGGGGAATCAATTTGCTGGCGATCTTGAAAACTAATAGCTGCTTGATCTGAAATAGCTACAGAGAGAAAGAGAGAGGAAAGAGAGGAAGGGGGGGCACTGTCACATCCCGAGTAGCTGTCGTAGGCTCTTGTTTTTAGGGGCTTAGTTTTCTACTAATATCCACTGTCCACAGCCCGTTTTACTGAGAAATTAATAAGGGTTGAACAGTTGAGGCACGCAGGTGGAATTTCCTCACTATGCTCTTCCTGTGACCAGAATACCGAAGACTTACTCTCTTAGCAAACTTCAAGTATATAATACAGCATTATTATGATTAGTATGATTATTATTATTAACATTGCGTTGCCAAGGATGTAACCTGAACCTTATGCTTTTCTCCTAGGCTAAACTTCCAGCCTAACACATTTCTACTAATGGTAATTCTCAGGCTGTCCATTAGAGCTCCAACATTTCTCTACCCTGCCCAACTGGCCTGTCCACGGTTACAAGGCGCCTCCCTGGTCCCCTCCCCTCCAGCCCCCGTGAGCCCGCTCTCCTCTGCTCCCCGCCTCTCTGCTCGCTTTTGGTCCTCGCTCATTGAGGACGGTAAGATGGATGGATGTTCAGTCATGGTTAGTTTCCCAATTGCCAAAAACCAGCTAGGGAGGGGGGGATTTGGAGCTCACCCTGAGGCAGGAACGTGGATCTGAGCTCAGGGTCCTTGCCAAACCCGACTTCCTTGAAGTAGAAGAGGATGATGAGTAGTGTGGGCTTTGATAAACAAGTGAGTGGTTTGGAGTCATTTGGGGTGTGTCACGTTCTTGTTTTCATGATATCTTCCAGGAGTATTCACACAGAGTTTCCCCAGCACCCTCCGTCCCCCCATACCTTCTCCCAGATGGTTTGAAACGACCTCAAGTCACCCAGTTTACCCTTGGGACATTTATAAAGGTGCATTTATGGAGAGACGGGGCTGAGCAAGGCTGATATATTCCTCCTAGAGCTTACTCCTAGATAATCTCCTCCAACACTGTATTGAATCTTTCTTTACCTAAGGCACATTTGGACCTGGTTTTCAGGAAAAAAAAAAAAAAAGATAGGCTAAACACCGCTAAAGTGCAGAAGAAACGTAAGAAGATTAAGAATGGGTGCAGAAATATTATCGCCAGCAATCGGGGGTAATAGGATCCAGTCTTTCTCACCTACAGGCACACAATTTAGGCTTAAGCAGATGATGACAGTACTGAGGAAGGGTGCGGTGTTTGTGAGTTTAACTATCAGCAAATCCAGGGGAAGGCTGCTGTCATTTACTGTGTAGGGGACTCAGTGTGAGAAGGATGAGCGTCGGTATGGATCCCAGGATGTCCAAAAGTATATCAAAGTTTTTATAGGCCTTCCCTGAGAGGTAATACCATGAAAACAAGTGAAAAAGGAAACCCGCATTTGTACATAGGAGGTTGTTTAGGGGTGTGTGTGTGTGTGTGTGTGTGTGTGTGTGTGTGTGTGTGTGTGTGTGTGCTTTGCCTGTAGATAGCAAATATCTTTTGGAGCAGTCCCCATGATCAGAGCTCAACTTTTGATTTGTGCAAAGGAGTTGAGCCATTTCTCAAACAGCAACAATATATTGTCAGTTATATGAAGAGAGCCACCCAATATAGGCCTAATGGGGCAAAATAGGTCCAAATCTGGCAGGAAGGTGAACTAATTCTTCTGCAGCACCTCTGCTATGTCTATCTAGCTTACTTTGAAATGTAAGTAATAGATTCCCTCTACAAAAGCACACAAAAAGAAAACATAAAAGTCTTGATGATGAAGAGGATTTAATGGTCAGTCATCTGCCAATCCACCAATTCTGGCTGCTGGTGCAAAAAGAAAACCCGTGACTTGTCCTGGAATACCCTTACACCATTTGAGGTACTTTATGAAGGAAATCCCTGCGAAGGAACTCCTACAGATCTCAGACCCGTGCTGGTGGCCTGTCT